CCCGTTCCTGTGTGTGCATGGGCTCTGCCATGAATGAGGTTATCTTATTTGCTGGTATATGGTTAGCTGTAGCATTTCCTCACAAATTCAACTTAAATACAGCTTTTCAGAAACACAGGGACGCGTGTATCCCTGCAACTTTATTAAAAGTTTAATTCATTATAAGACATGATTCTTCAGTAAGAAGATGGTCACAGTCTTTTTATTTTAAGATATTTTTTCTTTTTTTTTTTTTTTTTTTTTTTTTTTTTTTTTACCATCGGGCACATACATTTACTGGGGAGAGACAAGGAGAGGGGGAAAGAGGGGGAGAAAGGGAGAGGGGGAGAGAAAGGGAGAGAGGAGGAGAGAAGAGTCACCTCCAAGGGAGGATGCCCATGCTCCAATCCCGTTTCTTCCATTCTCCTCTTGGGATTTGGACACACATGCACATGTTCTCGGTGTGAGTTTCAAGCTGCCAGGTCTGGGATTCAAACTGCAGTTGGTCATCTGGGAGTCCAGCACCTTAACCACCATGCCATCTGCTGGCCTTGGTCATGGTCCTTTTAATATATCCCAGTGTTGGGCCAGTCAGGTCGCATGGTGGTTAAGGTGGCTATATCCCACATGGCTATGTGGTTCAAATCCCAGGCCAACCAGCTTGAAAACATGCCAGGTACGTGTGTGTGCATGCCCCAAATCCCAAGGGGATAGGGGAAGAAAGGGGATTACAGCGACGTCATTCCCCCAGGGGGATGCTTTCTCACTTTCCCTCTTATATGCTCTCCCCTCTCTCTCTCTCTCTCACTAGTGATGTGTCCTATAGCAAATTTTTAAAAATATATACACATATGGGGACCAGCAGATGGCATAATGGTTACTAGACTTCCAAGTAGTCGACCACAGATTCAGTCCTGGATCTATTGGCTTAAAACACACCAGGCAGGCATATGTGTGTGTCCAAAGTTCCAAGAGGAGAATGCAGGAAAAGGGACTGCAGTATGGCCATGCCCCCCGAGAGTTGATTTCTCATTTTCTGTCTCTCTGGTGAGCACACACACCCTTTAACAAAAATCTCTCTAAAAAAAACTTCCCGAAACGTGTGTGTTTATGTGTACATATGTATCCCAGTGTTATGATTATTTTTCTCATTTTGGACCTTTCTGCTCTTATATTCAGCTTAGCCTTGAATAGAGAAACTGTTCTTTTCAATTTCACAGATTTCATTATCATGACTATTTTAATGATCTGCTGGGTTATATAAATTCTCTTCCTGAATCTAGTGCATGAGAGTTCTGAATATAAGGTGTCATCTTATAACTGCATGCAGCTGTTTACATGCAACTAAAATAAATGTGTCACTCTAGTGAATAAATGCATCCACAACAAAGCATACCTTGTACTGTATCTTTTACTGGGAGTGGAGGCTGCTGCAAAGCAGGGTGAGAGTTTTCCTGAAAGATGAGAAAATATAATAAGGAAATAAAATAAGACAATAATTTAAAATAGCAATTATCATTCACAAGAAAATAATAGAAAGGTGGCAAATAAATAACGATGATGCATCCAAGAAACTGGAAAAACAACAACAAAAACCCAAAAATACCAAAATAAATAAATAAATAAATAGCAAAGAGGGGCCAGCAGGTGGTGTGCTGGCTAAGGCATTGGAATTCCCACATGGCTGACGATGGTTTGAATCCCGGACCTTGCAGCTTGCTCCTTCATCCTTTCTCTCTGCCTGTCTTTCTCTGGCAAAAACTCATGTGAAATAATAAGTAAACAAAATAAATAATTTTTTAAAAAGTAGCAAAAGTTAGAGCTGAAATAAATGACATTAAGAACAAAAGAACTACACAAAAACAAACGAAACAAAAATCTGGTTTTTGAGAGGATAAAAACTAACACACCATTAGCTAGACTAATCAAGGGAAAGAAAAAGGAATGACATAAGTAAGATCAGTAACAAAGTCGATAGTATTACAACAGACATCAGAAATACAAATAATTGGGCCAGCAGGAAGCATGGTAGTTAAGATGCTGGACTCCCATATGGTCGTCCACAGTTCAAGTCGCGAACCTGGCAGCTTCTTCTCTCTCTTTCTGTCTCTGTCTCTCTCTGGCCAAACAGAATAACAACAATAAATAAAATAAAACAGATAATTCTTAAAAATAAATAAATAAATGCAATTAATTATGAAAGGATGTGGGGAGCCGCCCACATCAAAATGGCTGTCATGACCTTCACTGCTTAAAAATGGCCTGTGCAACCTTGACACAGACACCAGGAATGCAGACCCCCTGGTTCACACAGAGCTGGCAGGTCCTCAATAAGGTCCGCTGTAAACCCCACCTCCCTCCCTCTACCTTGTGTATATAAGAAAGCGCTCTAGCCCTCAATAAATGAGCGAAACCTTTACATCAAAGAGCTGTGACACTGTGAGCTGACACTTCTTCCGCTCCCGTGCTGAGACGCTGACCCGGTTCCAGACCTTCGCCCCCTCGCTCGAGTTTCCCTGCCCGATTCGTCCCGCGGGTTCGGGACAAGAGGACATATAGGAGACTATATGCCAACAAACTAGAAAATTTGGATGAGATGGGAAAATTTCTGGACATAGATGAGCTACCTAGATTGAACCAGGAAGAAATAGAAAGACTGAATAGACCGGTAACAAGCAATGAGACTGAATCAGCAGTAAATAGTTTCCCAATGAGGAAAAGATCAGGTCCTCATGGCTTTATTTCTGAATTCTACAAAATCATTTTTATTTATTTATTTATTTTAGTTTTTTTGCCATAGAGTACATGTGCTCCCGGGAAAGAAGCTGAGGGAAAGTGAGGAACTGCCCCCATCAATAGGGATGGCCGGGCTGCAATCCCTTCTCCATTCTCCTCTTGAGATTTTGGGCACACATGCCCAGCATGAGTTTGAAGCCGAGTCCAGGACTTGAACTACAGTCAGCCATGTGAGTCCAGCGCCCCAACACTACACTACCTGCCCCCCCCCTTCTCCTCAAGCTATTTCTAAAGATCCAAAAGGAAGGAACCCTTTTAAACTTATTCTATGAAGCCTCCATCACCTTAATACCAAAAACCAACAAGGACATAACAAAAAAAGTAAACAGACCAATATCCCTGATCTATCAGGATTGCAAGATACCCAAAATGTGTATCTTACTTTCAAGTAAGGAATAAGGTACATAAGAAAGCAAATGCCACCTCCAGTTCTAAAGGACAGCTATAAATATCCAGAAATAGCACAAACCTCTATTCTAATGATCGGTGCTAAAGCTAGTTCTCACAGAATTCTAACTCTACTCAGATAGTTCATGCAATTCTAAAGTTTCATTGCACTTTCAGTCTCCCCTCTTTCCGCCACAAGACATTCATTCTACCTAGTAAATAGATACCAGCTAGGTTTCTTTTGGGGGGAACCAATAAAAACCTGAGCTTCTTTTATCTACTACCATAGAAAAAAGGAATTACCAACTGGTTTCATGAGTCTTTCTTCCTTTCTTCCTTCCTTTCTTTCTCGCTTTATTATGTTTATTTATTATTATTTAAGTTTGCTGTAGGGCATGTATGCTCACCAGAGAGAGAAAAGGAAAGAGAAAGCAAGCCACCAGGTCCTATACTCAAACCACAACTGGCCAATATGGAAGTCCAGCACTTTAACTACCACGCCACCTCCTGGACCCCATGACAATATTTTACTTGGAAAAACTTGCTATTGAAGTAAGGCAATATGTACTGTAAACCATGATTCTATTAGGGTTGTATACTGTTTTCTAGTGACCTCCTTGATTAAATAATATTTATGAGATTTCTTATCTACATGAAAAATTTTTAATTAATTTAAATTAATTTTTCTTTTTCAACTAGTACACTTTTGGTTAATCTCTTAACAAATTTTTTTTTTTATTTCATGGATGATAGCTTTATACACACTCATAAAATATCGGGTCATCGGAAAAGCACGATGCAGTCTGGCACAGAAAAACAGAAAACTACGTCATGACTTTTTCAGTGATCCAATATTTAATACTATTTCTATCTTCTAAAGTCCATTTCTCTCTCTCTTTTTTTTTCCTAAGGTTTCTGCCACAGGGTTTATGTGCTTGCTGGAGAGAGACACAGAGAAGGAGAGACAGAAAATGAAAACTCACCTCGAGTGGGGGGATGGTCACCTGCTATCCCTTCTCCTCCATTCTTCTCTTGTGATATTGGGTACACACACACATGTGCCCAGAGTGATTTTCAAGTCACTAGGTCTGGGACTTTAACTGCAGTGTCAGTCATAGGGAGTCTGGAGCCGCAACCACTGTATCACCTGTTTGCCCCCAAAGGTCATTTCTTAAAAATGGAGACCAGGCTGGAGCCAGCAGGTGGCATGGTGGTTAAGGGCACTAGAATCCCACATGGCCGACCATGGTTCAAGTCCCAGACCTGGTGGCTTCCTTTCTCGCTACCCTTTCTCTCTGTCTCTGGTCAAATTGGAAAATAATAATAATATTAAATAAAGTTAAAATAATTCTTTAAAAAAAAAATAAAAGAGGAGACAAGGCCATTCTTACTGCTGTGTCAATTCCACCCAGAAAGAATAACTCTGTTAGCATCATCTCTGGCCTACTGGAGATTACTCACATTTTTTGGAGCTTTCTTGGATACTTTGGGAATTTCAATTTGTCGAAGATTCTGTGAAATCTCTGCAATGCTTTTATGTCTTATTAATGCAGTTTTCCTTTTAAAAATTAAAAAAAAAATACAGTTAAGATACACTAGATAGAGGTTATACATAGTTAAATTTGAATAGAATTCAGTCTAAACTATCTAAATAAAAGCCAATATTGAGAATGACTTGGATTTATAATGAAATCTAAAAGTAGCTATTATATATTCAACTATTTAGAGCATTGAAAAGCATCAATGAAAATTTAAAGAATAAGCTGAATCCTGAGCTTATTTCATAAAGCGAACCTGGTTCCTGGAGACCCCATGTGGACAGTAAAGGGCTCTGTGGGGCCAGCAGATGCTGTGGTGGTTGGGGCGCTGACTCTCACATGGCCAACTGCAGTTTTGAGTCCTGGACCTGGTGGCTTGTTTGGGTACACACATGTGCACTGGCTCTCTCTTGGTGAGCACACATGCCCTACAACAAATTAAAAATAAAAATAAATTCTATTTTAAAACAAAGGGCTTTTGAATTACTAAAAAAAAAAAAAAAAAAAAAAAAGGGCAGATATTTTCTCCAGAGAACATAACAAGTATTAGATGCTCCTTATTAGGAACTCCAATTGTTGACTTTTATGATTGACACATAAGGGCAACCATTACTATATTATATTGTGAAAGACAACTGGATTATGGTTTAAACACACTTCTTTTTCTTTCCTTTTTATTAGATTATTTTAATTTCATTTATTCCTTAATTTATTTTAATTTGACCAGAGAGAAAAAAAGAGAGAGAGAGAGAGAGAGAGAGAAAGCAAGAAAGCAAGCCACCAGGTCCAGGACTCAAACCATGGTCAGCCATGTGGGAGTGTCCAGTGCCCTAACTACCACGCCACCTGTTAGCCACCCCCACTTTTTCATTTTTGCTATAGGGCACGTGCACCTGCCAGAGATGGTTAGAAAGAGAAGGAAAGTGAGCAATCACCCCTTGGGGCGATGGTCATGTCTCAGTCCCTTTTCCTCCAGTCTCTTCTCGGGATTTTTGGCCACGCATGCATGGCCCGGTTTGATTTTCAAGTTACTCGGGTCTAGGACTCAAACCACACAGTCATGTGGAATCTAGCCGCTTTAACCTATACACCACCTGCTGGTCCTAAACATACTCATTATCAGAACTACAGTTAACAGTGCAAGAAATTCCTTCGATTCCTTTGTATCCTACCTTCTCTTCTTGGCCGATCTGGTACGAAGCTCCTCCAGTTGTTCAGATTCAGTGCTGCCCAACACTGACCTGTGAGCACTTGACAGAAGTGGCACAGATGAAAGTGGTGATTTGCTCTCTTGGGTCATGGAGTCATCGCTGAGAAAATCTGTCGGAAGGACATCAGCCAGCTTCTGAGGAATCACAAACCCTAGGCTGTTGTAAAGATTTCCGAGTGTCTTTGGGACAGAGTCAATGTACCTATGGAACAGATTGATATGGAACAGTTACTATCCTACCTCGTCTACTGCCTCCCGTCCCACCAGGAGGAGAGTCCTTACGATCCCATCACTCTGAGACAATACCACACATAACTCTTGGCAAAACAATTTAAAGTTAGTAGTCATCAAACTTACAATCCCAAGATTTCCTCCAGAAAGTTTGCTAGGTAGGCTGAATCCTCAGTTAAACACACCATGCGCAGCAAATCTGTCACCTGAAAAAGATTTCGGAAATGACCCCACCCTCTCTGCAGAGAGGCTGAAAGCATCCAGGATATACTCCCAGTTACTTGCCTCCTCCACGACTTGCTCCATATAATCTGTACTTTCATATATCGACGGGCACTGAAGACACATCTCCAAACGAAGAAATACCTGAAGCTGGCACCTTGAGGAAAAAAATTTCTCAGTCATATCTACTTTGAAGTCTATTCACCTGAAAGATCTTAAAAAAATAAATAAATTTTTTGTCTTAGGATGCATGTGCTCACCAGAAAGAGATAGAGAGACAGAGATAGTGAGAAGGAACCCCCTGGGAGGGTTGGCCATGGCACAATCCCTTCTCCTCCATTCTCCTCCTGGGACCTTAGGCATGCTCCCATATGTGCCTGATGTGAGTTTGAAGCCACCAAGTCTGGGACTGGAATGGCGGTTAGCCATGTTGAAGTCCAGCAATGTAACTGCTGTACTATCTGCTGGTCTTGAAAGCTTCTTTCTTTCTTTTTTTTTTTGAGAGGTTTTTGCTATAGGGCACATGCACTCACCAGAAAGACCAAGAGAGACAGAAAGCGAGAAATCACCCCCTCAGGGCGACGGCCATGCCGCAATCCCTTCTCCTTCATTCTCCTCTTGGGATCATGGGCACACACGCACACATGCCCGGCATGAGTTTAAGCCACTGGGTCCAGGACTCGAATCGCGATCAACTTACATGGGAGTCCAGCAACATAGCCATTACGCTAACTGCTGGTCCCCTGAAAGCTCATTTCTTAAGCACAGATCTATTTATATAAGAAAAAAACAACCTAACAATTGGGTAAAGAGGTGACTCAAACAGCACATCAGAGTGAAACAAGGAATCAACTACAAAAGCATCTTCAAGCAACAAGAAAAAGTTTTGGTTTTTGGCCATAGGGTACATGTGCTTGTAGGTGAGAGAAAGATAGAAACAGAGGGGGAAAGTAAGAAATAACCCCCTGGGGGGAACAGTGATGAGGCAATCCCTTCTCCATTCTCCTCTCTGAATTTTCGGCATGCACACACGTGTGCCTGGCATGTTGTTCAAAATGCAGAGTTTAGGACTTGAACTGTGGTCAGCCATGTGGAAATACAACGCCTTAACCAGCACACCATCTCAGGCCCCAAGAAATATTTTATTACTTTATATTTTTATTTTCTTAATTTATTATTGGTTATCTTATTGTTAAACTTAAATTTTTAATATTTTTAATTTTTATTTTTTATTTTTTAAAAATTTAATTCATTCATTCATTTATTCTTATTTTGACAGAGAGAAAGAGAGGAAGAGGGGAAGAGGGGAAGTAAGAAAATAAGCCACCAGGTCCGGGACTTGAACCATGGTCAGCCATGTCGAAGTGTCCAACGCCTTAACCACCATGCCACCTGCTGGTCCTCCTAATTTTTAATTTAAAAAAAATTTTTTTTTTTTGAGAGATTTTTGCTATAGGGCACATTCATTTGCCAGAGAGACAGAAAGCAAGAAATCACCCCCCTAGCGGGGATGGTCACACTGCAATCCCTCCTCCTCTATTCTTCCCTTGGGATTTTGGGCATGCATGCACACGCCCCCGGTGTGAGTTTTAAGTCACCGGACCCAAGACTAAAATCGCGGTTGACTATGTGGTTCCAAGAAATCTATTTTAAAATGATGGAAGCAAGTATCAGTGCTTGGTTTGGGAGTTATAGTTTAAAAAAAAAAAAAAAAAAAACCCAAGACTAAAATCGCGGTTGACTATGTGGTTCCAAGAAATCTATTTTAAAATGATGGAAGCAAGTATCAGTGCTTGGTTTGGGAGTTATAGTTTAAAAAAAAAAAAAAAAAAAAAAAAAGGGAGGAGGTACTTACTCTCTGACTCTGTCTTCTTTATCCAGTTTTTTCCCCAGATTCTGTCGAAGACTTCTGCTAGTTTTTAAGAGGTTACTTTTTATTTGATTTAGGCAGTTCATCTGAAAATATAAAATTATTAGAATTATTATTTCTAATTTAGCATTGTTTATTATGTCTAATTTTTCACAGTTGACTGATGACCTAAGAAGGGAAGTACTACATTCCTTTTCAACTTCCCATCTTCTTTCATTTGAATAAAAAATAGTAAAATGACTATTTTTCTTTTATAGCTTTAAAAAGAAGAGAATACAAAAGTATTTGAGAACAGAGACTGATCTTTGCTATTAGACAGTAAACCACAGAATACTTGGTAGGTGGGACCAGCAGTTAGCGTAATGGCTATGACGTTGGACTCCAATGTAGTCGACCACAGTTCGAGTCCTGGACCCAGTGGCTTAAACTCACACCAGGCACGTGTGCGTGCGTGCCCAAGATCCTGAGAGAATGGAGAAGGAATTGCGGTGTGGCTATCCCCCCAGGGGGTGATTTCTCACTTTCTGTCTCTGTCTTTCTGGCGAGCACACGTGCCCTATAGCAAAAACCTCTCAAAAAAACAAAAACAAAACCAAAAAGAATACTTGGTAGGCAGAGCTGAGCTGAGAAGGTTTATGTGTGAATAGTATGCTGGGTGTTTGTTTCTCAAGTTTGAGTAGTTCACATGTAAATATCTTCTCAAAAACATTTAAAACCATACTGTACCTGTTATCATAGAGTCACAAACAAAATTATGACAAATATTTTGAAAGTTATCTCTAAAATTTAGTTTCTTGAAATTTTGAAAGTTGCTTACCTATTAACTATCTAGAATGATAGAGCATGAGCAAAATTTTTGATATGTAAAGTAAATGTTTGTGGGAAAATGTAAAACAATAAATAAGGGGGCTGACAGGTGGTGTGGTGGTTAAAGGTGCTGAACTCCCACATGGCTGACTACAGTTCAAGTCCTAGATCTGGCGGCTTGCTTTCTCACTTTCCCTTTCTCTCTCTCTGGTCAAATTAAAAATAAATCATAAAAATTAATTAATGAATTAAATTTTTCTAAAAAGAATTATTTATTTAATTCCATTTGTTATTGATTTGACCACCAGAGAGGGAGGGAAAGGGAAAGTGAGAAAGCAAGCCACCAGGTCTGAGACTTGAACCATGGTCAGGGGCCAGGTGGGAATCCAGCACCCTTATCTACCACACCGCCTATTGGCCCCAATTAATTAAATTATAAAAACAAGTATTTCAGAGCAAGTGGGCTGGATATGGCAAAAATTCAGATTTCAACTATCTTAAAAGGAAGAATTCAAGGCCAGCAGGTAGCATGGTAGTTAAGGTGCTAGATTTCAACATCACCAACTGGGTTCAAGTCCTGGACCATGTGCTTAAAAACATGATGTGGATGAATGTGTACATGCCCCAAATCCTGAGAGAATGGAAAAGGGACTGTAATATGCCCATTCCCCTGGGGGGTTATTTCTCACTGTCCCTTCTCATTGTCTTTCTCTGGCAAGCAAACATGCCCTATGGAAGAAACCGGAAAAAAAAAAAAAAAAAAAAAAAAGTCCACGAGTAATAATTAAAAAAGCTAAGTATTATAAATAATTTACTTCAGAAAAGGAGCTGAGCTTTTGCCAATAAACATAAATTTAATGACAATGTGATGGGGACCAGCAGCTGGCATAATGGCTATGACGCTGGACTCCCATGCAGCCGACCACAGTTCAAGTCCTGGACCCAGTGGCTTAAACTCACGCCGAGCACATGTGCGTGCATGCCTAAGATCCCGAAAGGAGAATGGAGGAGAAGGGATTGAGGCATGGCCATCTCCCCTGGGGGGAGTGAGTGTTTTCTCACTTCCTGTGTCTGTCTTTCTGGTGAGTGCACTTGCACTATAGCAAAAACCTCTCAAAAAAAAAAAAAAAAAAAAATGACAACATGATGTAAAAGAATGTGCCGCAACAGTCTGTGTGCATGTGAGTCATTGTGAGTCATCTAGGGGCCAGCTGGTAGAATGGTGGTTAAGGTGGCTGAATCCCACATGACCAACTGCTTATTTTGAGTCCCAGACCAGCTTGAAAATATGCTGGGTATGTGCAAATGTGTATGTCCCCAAAATCCTGAGAGAATGGAGGAAAAGGAATTGCATCATGGTAATCTCCCCTGGGGGAGGTGCTTTCTCACCTTTTCCCTCTCTCCTCCCCACCCCAGTGAGCATATGTACTCTATGGCAAATTGAAAAGAAAAAAAATAATTTAGGGAGGTGTTTTTTTTGTTTTTTTTTTTTTTAAAAGATAAAGGTCTATGTTCCCAACCCTTGAGATCTGTTTCTGTTCATCTGGAAGGAGCAGACATCTGCGTTAAAAAAAAAAAGTTCCTGGGCCAACAGGTGGCATAGTGGTTACGTTGCTGGACTCCTATCCCACATGGCCGACTGTGTTCCAAGACCTGGACCCAGTGGCTTGAAAGGTATGCTGGGCACATGTGCATGCGTGACCAAGATCCCAGGAGGAAAAGGGATTGTGGCATGGCCATCTCCCCCTGAGGGGGTTGGTGGTGGATTTATTACTTTCCCTTTCACCAACTATGTCTCCCTCTGGCGAGTGCATGCACCCTAAGGCAAAAAAACTCTTAAAAAAAAAAAAAAAGGTCCCAGGTGATTATAAAAGTGCAGCTACGATTTAAAATCACTGGCTTGGGCCAGCAGATGGTGTGGTGATTAAAGGTGCTGGATTCCCACACGGTCAACCGTAGTTCAAGTCCTGGACCTGGCAGCTTGCTTTCTCACTTTCCCTTTCTCTCTCTCTAGTCAAATTATAATAACAAATAGAATTAAATAAATACATAAATATTAAAACAACAACAAAAAGCCCACTGGCTTAATTCATGCAACTCAAATGAGGGTAAAAAAAGCTTTCTTTGAGAAAGAAGTGCATGTAATTACATCCACTAATTTTTTTTTTTTTGGTCCTATCAGGTCACTAAGTCCACTTTCCAAGATCTGGAGTTGTACTCACTCCTTGCTCATCTTGTCATTCTTGAGTCACATACTGACATTTTCCAAGACATATATAAACCAATCCCATCAGCAACTAATCAACCAGTGATGAAATCTATGACAAACAACCCAAGATTCTTACTTCTAATTCCTTGGCGCCTTTAGATTTTAGAAACACCTTAATGGCTGAGATCATGTTGTGAGCACATGAATGCAAAAGGACTTCTCTTGTGGCCACAGTCTTTTGGTAGGTTTCATGTATATAAGATAAGAGCTCCTCCTCCGTTTTAAATTCTGAAAAAAAGTAAAATTTATTCTCACAGTCAGCTCATGTCCTCATATTATTAAAACTAGTGGTTGCCCAATAGAGAGATTTTTGCCACCCAAGAGGCATTTGGATACATGTGGACTCTCATGACTCTTAATTGGGTGGGGGAGGAGTTATAGGTGTAGAGGCCAGAGATGCTCTTAAACATTCTATGAAGTATAAGACTGCAGTTAGAGTCCCAGACCCGGTGGCTTAAACTCACGTTGGGTGTGTGTGCATGCGTGCTGGGATTCCAAGAGGAGAATGGAGGAGAAGGGATTGTGGTGTGGCCATCTGCCCTGGGAGTAATTTCTCACTTTATGTCTCTCTCTATCTTTCTGGCAAGTGCATGCGCTCTATAGCAAAAAAACCTCTCCTAGGGAACCAGCAGTTAGCATAATGGCTATGTTGCTGGACTCCCACGTAGTCAACCGCGGTTCGAGTCCCGGACCCAGTGGCTTAGAACTCATGCCGGGCGCGTGTGTGTGCATGCCCAAGATCCCAGGAGGAGAATGGAGGAGAAGGGATTGCGGCGTGACCATCCTCCTGGGGGGTTATTCCTCACTTTCTGTCTCTATGCCGCTGTCTGTCTGGTGAGCGCACACACCCTATAGCGAAAAAAAACTCTCCTAAAAAAAAAAAAAAAAGAAAAGACTGCCCCCACAACAAGGAATTATTCAGCCCAAAATATCAATAGTGTCAATACTGGGAAAGTACAGAGATAAGAAATGTTAAGGTTTTGCAAAGCAAATGTACATTTTTTATTTTGTTTTGTTTTAAAGAATTATTTTATTTGACTTTATTTATTTAAATTTGACCAGAGAGAGAAAGTGAGAAAACAAGCCACCAGGTCTGGGACTCAAACCACGGTCAACCATGTGGGAGTCCAGCGCCTTAAGCACCATGCCCACCTGCCGGCCCCAGCAATTGTACATGTTAAGAATTTAGCAGCAGAAAGAAATAAAACTGTCTTTATTTACAAATGACATGAATATTCATCTAGAAAAATGTGAAAGAATCAACAAGAAAACTTCTGGAACTAATAAGCAATTATAAGGCTACAGGAGTCAAGGTTAATATTATATATAAAGGTTTATTACTTTCCTATATACCAGCAATGGACTGATGAAATCTGAAATTAGAAATGTCTTACCATTTACTTTATCAACCCCCAATAATAAAATATTCAAGTTTCAAACTTAATAAAATATCTATGAAATCTAAGAGGGGATTTCGGAAAGTTTCTAAAAAATGAAATTAAATAATTTCACTTCTTTGGTGCAAAATAATTTCCTAAAATTTATGTATATTTTTTTGAATTATTTTTTAACTTAATTTATTTTAATTTGACCAGAGAGGGACAGAGTGAGAGAGAGAGAGAGAGCGCGAAAGAGAGAAAGTGCGAAAGTCACCAGGTCCAGGACTCGAACCGTGGTTAGCCATGTGGGAGTCCAGCACCCATAAGCACCATGCCACCTGCCATCCCAATGCATATTTTTTTAATGTGCATTTTCTTTTTTTTTTCTTTTTTTTGGGGGGTGGGGGGAGAGGTTTTGGCTATAGGGCACGTGCGCTCTCCAGACAGAGAGAGACAGAGAAACAGAAAGCGAGAAATCACACCCCAGGGAGGATGGCCATGCCGCAATCCCTTCTCCTCCAGTCTCTTCTCGGGATCTTGGGCACGCACGCACACGCGCCCGGCGTGAGTTTTAAGCCACCGGGTCCGGGACGCAAACCGCGGTCGACTACGTGGGAGTCCAGCAACACAGCCATTACGCTAACTGCTGGTCCCGCTTAATGTGCATTTTCTACGAACTTTCTGAAAACCTCAGATGAGGAAAACTGAAAAGCTCTATGAAAAAAAATTAAAGAACTAAATAAATGGAGAGGGTCAACCAATGGCCTGGTGGTTAAAGTGGCTAGACTCCACATAGTAAACTGTTCAGTTTCAGTTCAGGCCTGGTGGCTTGAAAAACAAAATCTTGGGACCAGAAGATGGCATAATAGATACATTATTGGACTCCCATATAGTCGACTGCGATTTTGAGTCTTGGACCCACACCAGGCGTGTGTGGGTACATGCCCCAAATCCCAATTGGAGAATGGAGGAGAAAGGGCTATGGTGTGGCCTTTCTCCTGGGGAATGATTTCTTGTTTTCTGTCTATTTCTCTGGTGAGCACGCACGCCCTATATATTAAAAAAAAAAAAAAAAAAAAAACTCTCTTAAAATAATATTCTCTTAAAAATAAATACCCAAAGAATAAATAATTCAACTTTTGTTTTGCTTTAAAGGGAAGATTATAGAGCAGGAAAGTAAAAACTGCTGGACTAAATTCTTCTGCCCACCTTTGAAAGATATTAGTAACCCAGTCCTAGATTACTAATAAACTTTTTTTCCTCCACCTTTATTCACTAATGTAGAACTATTTGTCCTATGAAAGGCATGGCCTATCTTTTGTGATTTTGATTGTGATTGCTGCTTTTCCATCTGAAATACCTTTTTGTTTTTGTTTTTTTAAGTTTTTTTTGTTTGTTTGTTTGTTTGCTATAAGGCCCATGTACTCAACAGAGAGTGAGTGAGAAATCAACCCCCAGGGAGGATGGCCATACTGCAATCCTTTCTCCTCCACTCTCTTCTCAGAATTTTGGGCACACACATGCACCCAGCCTGAATTTCAAGCCACCAGGTCCAAGACTCAAACCTTGGTCGGCCATGTGGGAATACAGCACCTTAACCACTACTACACCTGCTGGTCCCACTTTTTTGCTTTTTTTTTTTAAACCTTTCTACCTTTTAAACTCTGCACATCCTTGGAAGTCTAGCCTGGGCTCCAGGGTGCCTAAGTCTCCTCAGTCTATTCCTAGCTGGGCTTTACTTCCCAAATAGGCTTATATTTCCTGTTTGAGACTCTTGGCTCTCTTATAAATTAGTTATATTGGCTATCTCCATATTTTTTTTAGAGAGGTTTTTGCTATAGGACATATGCACTCACCAGAAACACAGAGAGAGAAAGAGAGAGAGAGAGAGACAGACAGACACACAGATAGACAGAAAGCAAGAAATCATCCCCCGGGGGGATGGCCATGTCGCAATCCTTTCTCCTCCATTCTCCTCTCGGGATCATATGTGCCCAGTGTGAGTTTAAGCCACCAGGTCCGGGACTCGAACTGCAGTCAACTGGCAGTTCAGCGACATAGCTATTACAACAACTGCTGGTCCCGGCTATCTCCATATTATAGATCCATATACATTAACTTATTATTGCATTAGTTTTATCTTTGTAGGTAGATCATAAATCTAGGACTAGGACATTATATTATTTCTTGTACTCATAACATATTTTGGTCATGTAGCAGATAATCAATGTTATTTAGAGGATATAAATAACTTAAAAATATGAGGGCTATTGGGTCAGCAGACTAACTTTCCCTTAAAGGTGCTGGACTCTCACATAGTCAACTGCAGTTTCAGACCTGGCAGCTTGAAAATCATGTCAGGCACAGGTTTGTGCATGCCCAGAATAAATGGCAGAGAAGCGACTGTGGCATGGCCATCACCCCTGAGGAGTGTTTTTTCACTTTCCCTGTATCTCTCTCCAGTAAGTGTACACACCTTATGGCAAAAACATTAAAATGTGGGGTATGGGCCAGCCAGCTAGGTAGTGTGGTGGTTAAGGTGGCTGGATCCCCATGGCCAACTACATTGTTCCAGTCCTGGACCAATGGCTTGAAAATCATGCTGGGTACATGTGTGTGCATGCCCAAAATCCCAAGAGGAGAACGAAGAAGGGATTGTGACATGGTCATACCCTTCAAGAAGTGCTTTTCAACTTTCCCTCTCTTTGGCTCTCTTTCTGGTAAGCACACGCACCCTATAGCAAATTTTAAAATAAAAATAAATAAGAGATGAATAACAGAGTAAACAGACTTAAGATACCAAAATGCTATGAAAGAATACCTTTGGGTCTGGAACTTCTTAATGTTTTTCCTCTGTCTTCCAACTTATCTGCTATCTTTCCACCAGCTGTCCTCTGTATCCCCTTCTCCCCGGCCATGTCTGGACTGACATCTGGATTTAACTTCTGAGCCTTCACATTCAGCCTCGCAACATTCAACATCTTCAGGGAACGGCACATGGTGTTCATCTTCTGCCTCACTGGAGTACGAGGAACCCCGCCTACCAGAACGACAGTTGTGGGGAGAAACAGACATTAACTTGCGCTTCTGTGGAATCAGATTCCTGGAAGGAATATTGAAAGGAAGTACATCCCTTCAGAATTATCTGCATTATGTAGCTCTTCCATCTCTTTCTATTCAGAACAGAGAATCCTCTTAACTGAAGTTTAGAAACCAAACATACTAATGTTATTAGATGACTTTTACATAATACAAATGCCAAACAGACTTATTTTGGCATTACCCAATGGCCACAGAGTTGTGTTGAAATTTTTCTGAAATAATTTAGTGATCTGCATAAGAGCCAATGGTCAGATTCTTTGCCACAGTAACTTGTTCCTGGAAACTTGTGCTAAGGAAATCACTCCAACAACAATGGAGTACTACAATATTATTTATGATAAAAACTAAAAACAATCTAAGTATTTGTCGACATGAGAATTTTGCAAATTTTGTTAAGTGATAAGGTAAAACAACAAGGCAAGGTAGCAGATGAACAAACATTTATAAGCAAGATACAATGCTCTTTTGAAGTTTCTTTTTTAACTAAAAATCAAGATGGTGGGACCAGCAGATGGCATAGCAGTTTTGTCACTGGGCTCCCACATGGCCAACTACATTTCAAGTCCTGGATCCAATGGCTCGAAAATCACACCAGGCCCATGTGCACATGTGCCCAAGATCCTGGGAGGAAAATGGAGAAGGGATTGCAATGTGGCCATCCCCCTGCAGGATGACTTCTCCCTCTCCCTCTAATAGTCTGTCTCTCTCTCTCTCTGGTGAGTGCACACAACCTACGCCAAAAACTTCTTAAAAAAATGTGATGTGATTTTTGCCTTGTTATTATTACACCAAGTCATTATTTTGAAAATTGAAATGTAAGAATTTTCCCTGCTTAGGGCCAGTAGGTGTCATAGTGGTTAAGGCACTGGTCTCCCACATCGCCAACCACAGTTCAAGGTACAGACCTGGTGGCTTGAAAAATCACACCAGCATGTGTGCGTGCATGCCCAAAAATCCCAAGAGGAGAATGGAAGAGACTGTGGTGTGGCCGTCCTCCTGGGATATGCATGCAGGCAGGCGTGCGTGTGTGTGTGTGTGTGTGTGTGTGAAATTTCTCACTTTCCCTCCCTCTCTCTCCCTCCCTCTCTCTCTCTCTCTCTGGAGAGCACATGTGCCTGAAGGCAAAAAATGTTAAAAGAAAAGATTTTTTTTTTAAAGAATTTGCCTTGGGAACCAGCAGTTAGCGTAATGGCTATGTCGCTGGACTCCCACGTAGCTGACCGCGGTTCGTGTCCTGGACCCGGTGGCTTAAAACTCACGCCGGGCGCGTGTGCGTGCGTGCCCAAGATCCCGAGAGGAGAATGGAGGAGAAGGGATTGCGGCGTAACCATCACCCCTGGGGGGGGATTTCTCGCTTTCTGTCTCTCTGTCTCTTTCTGTCTGTCTGGGGAGCGCCCAAGTGAAAAACCATCCCAAAAAAAAAAAAAAAAAAAAAAAAAAAAAAAAAAAAAGAATTTGCTTTTATTTAGTTATAATTTTAAACTTATTTCAGTAAAGTCATAATTTTAAAACACACAGTCTCGAAATAGGCTAACTTAAGAAACAGCCTTTCTGGAGCCAGCACGTAGCATGATGGTTAGGGCACTGGACTCAAACATGGCTGACCACAGTTCAAGTCCTGTACATGGCAGCTTGCTTTCTCACTTTTTTTCTCTGACTGGTGAGTACACATGTCCTATAGCAAATTAAAATAATAAAAAAATCAAATAAAAGTACTTATTAAAAAAACAAAACAGCCTTCCCATGTACACACGTTTTTTTTTGTTGTCTTCTTGATTAGCTACAGTGGATTCTTCATGAGATTTTCTTTGGTAGAGCTCAGTGAGGTAACATGTCAATTCACTTTCAGTTTTGGAAGATTCCTCTTTACTACCTGAGGCAGCCTGGAGTAACCTGCAAAGTCAAGATGTCTAGCGTAAAACCAAACTTCCAATTTTCTATAATGCTTTAGATATAAACAAAACAATAGTAAAAATCCATTATCCTTTTAAAAGCTAAAAGATGTCCCCATGAAAAGGCTTAAAAAATATTTTTTCAGGGCAAGTTAATAGCACATCAGTAACACAACTAGGTCTATATGGGAAGGTCCCCAGTTCACATCCCAGGCCTTCCCTGTACACAGACACATACAAGTGTCCAAAATCCTAGCTGGCTGAGGCTGGGGGTAGGTCACAGCATCACATCCTTGTTGGAGGTACCCATCTCTGTGTCTCGCTCTCTAGGAAGAAAGCTTTATTTTAAAATACCCAGAGAAATAAAGTTTTACCAAAATGACTCCATCAAAGGTGAACTGGCACCACTGAGGTTAGAGAATGGAAACCACTTCTCCATAATAGCTGGACTCCAGGGAAGGGTGCGGCCAAGCTCCTGCTGAGCCCACTCTGGAACAGGAGGAGCTTCAGGAACAAAAGAAGAGAGGCAAGAGAGAAAAAGAGGCATTACGGCAAAGGTAGGGAGTTCCAAGCACTCACTCCTCCCTTCACTGATTGTATCCCTCTCCAAGGAACATACAAAAGCTGCATGGTTACTGATCCTTGTCCCTCTCCATCAACCGACTCCTACAGGCCCATGTTGTCTATGAAAAATATGCAGACATAACAAAATTTTTTATTACTACCAACAAGTCTCATTTCTGAAATGTTTCTCTAAATAACACTTTAAAATGTTGTTTTTCTAGTCTTAAAAATGTATTTGTTGGAAGACCAGCAGATGGTGTAATGATTATTGGACTCCCACATGGCCGACTGCTATTTGAATCTTGGACACAGAGGTTTGAAACTCACGTTGGGTGCATGTGCATGTGTGCCCAAAATCCCGAGAAGAGAATGGAGAAGGATTAGCGGTGTGACCATCCCCCTTGGGGGGTGATTTCTCGCTTTCTGTCTCTCTGGTGAGTATACATGCCCTACAGCAAAAATTCTTCTTAAAAAACAATAGTAATAAATAATAACCAAAAAAATTATAGCCCCTGGGGCCTGGTGGCATAGTAGTAACATGACTCGCATGAAGAAGGTCCTGGGTTTATGTCCTGCAACGTCCTCGAGCACACCGGGATGTGCACGCATGCCCATGATCCAGGCCAACTGAGAATGGGATGGATCACAGCATGAAGACCCTGCTGGCAGTATCTGTCTATCTCTGTCTCCTTCAGTGTATCTCTTTCTCTTATGAAAGAAAAAAGTTTGGAAAGAAATTTCAAGGTAAACAGAATCACCAGTTTTACATGCAATTTTTACCAAAATTATTAAAACCATTTCCTCTTAGAATTTCATTTCCAACTGGTTTTATAGAGCCTTCAGACTCTAAAGTGCTCAGGATTTCTATAAGGAGTAACAATTCAAATTGCCTGAAGTACTGAAACTTGCTTTTTATCTATTTTATAATGTAGTGGAGCTCTAATACGTGCATGGTGAAAACAAGGTTCTGATGCTAGAAAAGATTACAAACTACCCTAGACTATTTTTAATTTCTGGTCCAGAACCTTACCTGGAGGGGCAGGATGGTCAAGTGAATTATGAATCTGATTCAGTACACTATCCACAACTTCTGATAAAAGAGAATTTGTATCCTGGGGACCCTCGGATACAACTGTTTGCAGAACATGCCTTTGAAATTCAGCCTCCTCTGTGTGTAACACAGTAAGAACCATAGCATTGGCCGCGAATGGGGAAACAACTCCAGTGATGGGGGGCCAGCCTTCACCAGGGTTCACACTGGCAACCTATAGAAAAAGTTCTAATTAGTTGAAAATATTGATGTTCACATGCCTAAAGAATATGGCTTAGGGTCAGCCAGCAGCATGGTCATTAAGGCAGCTGGATTCCACATGGTCAGCTAGCACAGTTCAAACCAGACCCTGAGGCTTGAAAAACATGCCTGGTGCATGTACATCAGTGCCCAAAAATCACCAGAAGAGAACAGAGGAGAAAGAATTTCAGCGTGGTCATTCCCAGTGTGTGTGGGGGGTGATTTCTCACTTTCCCTCTCTCCATCTCTGTCTGGTGAGCAAATGTGCCCTAAAGCAAACCAAAGAAAAAAAAACAGTAGCTTAGCAGGAGACAGAATAGTTTTCCCAATGATTATTAAAGAGAAAACTGTGTCTCATGGTTATGAGACAGAAGTTATCAATCATATGCAGAGATACATATACACATTCTGAATTACAGGCAACAAAAACCTGACATTACCAGGAATATTCACTACCTGAGTACAACCATCCAGTTAGCTGACTGCCTTTTTTCCTATGTAAATATATTCTAGCTTAATTGGATCCAGGGTACATGACAAAAAAAATTTTTTGGAGAAGTTTTTGCTACAGGGTGTGTTTACTTGCCAGAAAGACAGAGAGAAACAGACAGAAAGCGAGAAATCACCCCCCAGGGGGATGGCCACACCACAATCTCTTCTCCTTCATTCTCCTCTTGGGATCGATCTCAGGCACACACGCACATGCGCTTGGCATGAGTTTAAGCCACTGGGTCCAGGACTCAAACCACAGTCAACTACATGAGAGTCCAGCAACATAGCCATTATGTCAACTGCTGGTCCCTGGATTTTTTTTTTTTTTTTGGCTATAGGGAACATGTACTTACCACAGAGACAGAGAGAGGGAAATTGAGAAAGCACACACCAGTGGGACAGCCATGTAGCAATCCTTTCTTCTGTGTTCTCTCAGGAGTTTGGTCAACACACATGGTCAGCATGTTTTTCAAGCTGCCAAGTCCAGGATTCAAACTGCAGTCAGCCACGTGGGATCCAGTCACTTTAACCAACATGCCACTAGCTGGCCTTTGTACGTGCAATTTTATTAATGGTTTCTTCACTACTAAGCAACCAATGTAGGCAATACTACTTGTAAAAACATCATCAGTTTTATGAGACCATATTACACAGGGTGCCCCTGGGCATTTAATAAACTTATCATGTGGAAGATACCTACCAGATGTAACTCCTCAGCAGTCAGCCTGCATACCAGCTGCTCAAATAACAGCCTTTGAGCTGATGTCGTCTCCTCTGGAGTTGTTAGCATCCAGCTGTCAGTGCCCAAACTACTGCTCATTGGGAGAGACCACTGGACCACCCAGCCTCTTAGGAAAATTTGGACTGGTTCCTGAAAATGTCTCTGATGCATGGCCAATGGCTCTAGGGTGACAATCCATGTTTCTTGAATCTCTTTTCCTGCTAGAAATAAAGAATATTAATTCTAATATAAGAAATAATTACTGGGACCAGCAGTTGGCCTAATGGCTATATCGATGGACTCCCAAGTAGTCGACCGCAGTTCGAGTCTCGGACCCAGTGGCTTAAAACTCATGCCAGGCACGTGTGCGTGTGCGCCCAGGATCCCGAGAAGAAAGTGGGGGAGAAGGGATTGTGGCGTGGCCATCCCCCCCAGGGGATGATTTCTCGCTTTCTGTCTGTCTCTGTCTTTCCGGCAAACACACGCACCCCATAGCAAAAACCTCTCCCCCAAAAAATAACAAATGAAATTAAATAAAAAATTCTAAAATTAGAAAGAAAAAATAATTCAACCTTTTACTGAGGTATCTGATTTTGCTTAGAATGCCTTGATTATTTTTTTCAATTGATAGAAGGCACATATGTTCACCAGAGAGAGACAAAAAGAGAAAGCACCCTTCAATGAAGCCTGGTCACATTGCTATCCCTTCTCCTCTATGTCTCCATTCTTCCAGGATTTGGGGCACACACCCAGCATGTTTTTCAAGCCATTATGGTGAAATGTGAACCATGGTCAGCCATGTGGGATCCAGCCCCTTTAACCACTAGGCTATCGGATTGACCCAGACATCTTTTAATTCTTTCAATCACAAACATTTAACAAGTTAAAAACAGGGACCTGCCTTGAAGAAATATATGTAACTGAGATCACAACACCCCCCCACCCCCAAATATTATTTGCTTACCTTCAACAGGGAGAAATAGTGTTCCTTCCACCCGTGGAAATGAGGCTTCATACTCAGGAGAATTATACAGCAAACGGTTTATAGTGGCATCAGTGGGCAGACTTGAAATCCACGGAGATATGTAAGGTTCACTTGACAGCTTTCTCTCACTCCTGAGTAGTAATTCCCCACCTTTAGCAAAATCTTGGCTCAATGTTTCAGATGGCAAGACAGTGCCTCCCCCGTGGTGGAGCAGTTCACAAACTGTCCAATATCCAAGGTGATCTGGGGATTCCCACAACTAAAATTAAATGACAAAGAACCTTAGGTTATTTTCAGTTGTACATTCAGGGAAATCAGGAGAAAGTAAAGCTAATTTCAACATTAAAGGAAAAAATTACACAATAAATGTATTTGTTGAACCAAACACAAGTAATGGTCAGCATCCAGTTTCTTTTATTCTTTAAGTTTTTTGCCATAGGGCATATGTGCGCACTGGAGACAGAGAGAGGGAAAATGAGAAATCAACCCCCAGGAGAATGGCCACACTGCAATCCTTTCTCTTCCATTCTCCTCTCTGGATTTTGGGCATGCACACACAGGAGTGATTTTAAAACCACTAGGTCTGGGGCTTGAACAGCGATCAGTCCTGTGGAAGTCTAGCACCTTCACCAAACCACCTAGTGGTCCCAGACAGTGCTTTTAAAATTTAGGTAGTGACCCTTGGAATGGACTGATGAATTGAGTGATTTATGATCACCATTTAAAGATCTCAGAGAAGCACATGTCAAAGAAAACAAAATATCACATATAGCACAAAGAAACAATGTATTATAAAAGTTTTGTTTCAGTAACAAATAGGAATCTGAAACTACGACATAGATCAATTAATTAGTATTTGCTGTTAAATCCCTGGGTCCATGCTTGTGTTCACTGCTATGGGGGAGAAAAGTAAGTTAGTTAAGAGAAGGTAGATCCAAATTATAACGTTCTACCAAAGTGACACATTTGTCAAAATGATCTCACACAGAGGACGGAGTGGGGGGACCTGCTTATCAAATGAAAGGCTAAGTTCAAACTTTAGTAAGAGTTGAAAAGTGCATTAATTTATTAAAATATTTACAGGACCAGTAGTTGGTGTAATGGCTATGTCGCTGGACTCCCAAGTGGTCAACTGCTGTTCGAGTCCCAGACCAGGCAGCTTAAAACTTACACCCAGGCACATGTGCGTGTATACCCAAAATCCTGAGACAATGGGTGAGAAGGGAATGCACTATGGCCATCTCACCTGATTTCTTGTTTTCTGTCTGTCTCTCTAGCGAGCACATGTGCCCTATAGCAAGAATCTCTTTAAAAAAAAAAATTATCTGAAGGGTATCTTTTTTTAGGGGGTAGGGGGAAGAGTAACAACACAGCAGATAAGAAGGGACGACTCAGACAAGCCCCATCATTTCAGACTATGGTATATGGTATATCAGACCTGGAAGAGATCTTTGAAATAAAAATCAAATCCCAGCATTTTAATGCTATGCCAAAAAACGTGTAGCATTTACACCTGGTCCTAGTTTAGTGCCACGAAATGCTAATATGTGGAATCATCTTTCACCTGGTTAAATCACCGTCCAAAGCCTTCCCATGATTCAAACAAAACCCACACTTGAGACTGCCTGACTTCCTCCCACATTACTCTTCACCTGGCCTACTAGGTCTTAGCACCACCTGTCTTTTGGTTTCTGAAACAAGTTCATTTGCAGCTCAAGTCCTTACACCAGCCTTTCCTTTTGCCTAGAATATTCTTTCCCAACTTTTATGTTCCTTCTTGACTATTCTATTCTGTTCTTTGTTCAAAAAGGCCTTTCCTGACTACCACTCAATGTACAAGATCACCTCTTTTTTGGACAAAGTCTTCACGGAGGACAACAATGAGAACTGGCATCCTGGGAAGACTAAACAAAGATAAAACAAGCTGCCCAGGCCCACCAATTAGCTAGACTAGGCTTTTCCGTGTTAGAAATATATGTGGTGTGTAGGAAAGTCAAGTCTGTGAAGGTAGGTAGAGCCCAAATTGTGAAGGACCAACTTAGGCTTAGTAGGTAGGGAGGAACCACCCACCTAGCTGTGAAAACTGTCCCTGTATGTGATTACTATCCTTCTGAAGGGACACATGACGTTAGTCTCACCTGGGTCGGTGGGTTTGCTCTGCAGACACTGCCAGGTGCTGGTTAACGAGGAGAGCACCGAGCCCTAAATCTGAGACTGTTACAACCTTACCTTAGACCATTCGGTGGTATCCACCCAGTACAGGGCGATTTTTCGGGCGGTCATTAGTTCCTGGACTCTCTTGGGCAGCAACTTCTCCATTGCCTGCTTAGGGGTAGGAGGAGAACGCTGAGTCTGGGCCTCGCACCCACACAAGAACTGCAGCAGCTCCCTCTGCGAATGCGGACAGGGGGCCAGGAGGAAGACCGCGTTCCCGAAGCCTCCGAGCGCGGTCTCGGCCTCCTTGGCCTCGTTCTCCACGTCCAGCAGTCTCCTCCCGCTGCTCCGCAGGATCGGCTTGGTGGGCGACGTGATCTCGGGCCGGTCCCACTGGTAGTCCAGCAGCGTCTCCATCAGGGCGCTGTGGGTGTGAGTGGCCCTGGGCGCCGGGCCAGGCAGGTGAGCGCCGGGGGCGCGCTCTCCGAGCCTGGCTGGGGGAGAAAAGTAAGTTAGTTAAGAGAAGGTAGATCCAAATTATAACGTTCTACCAAAGTGACACATTTGTCAAAATGATCTCACACAGAGGACGGAGTGGGGGGACCTGCTTATCAAATGAAAGGCTAAGTTCAAACTTTAGTAAGAGTTGAAAAGTGCATTAATTTATTAAAATATTTACAGGACCAGTAGTTGGTGTAATGGCTATGTCGCTGGACTCCCAAGTGGTCAACTGCTGTTCGAGTCCCAGACCAGGCAGCTTAAAACTTACACCCAGGCACATGTGCGTGTATACCCAAAATCCTGAGACAATGGGTGAGAAGGGAATGCACTATGGCCATCTCACCTGATTTCTTGTTTTCTGTCTGTCTCTCTAGCGAGCACATGTGCCCTATAGCAAGAATCTCTTTAAAAAAAAAAATTATCTGAAGGGTATCTTTTTTTAGGGGGTAGGGGGAAGAGTAACAACACAGCAGATAAGAAGGGACGACTCAGACAAGCCCCATCATTTCAGACTATGGTATATGGTATATCAGACCTGGAAGAGATCTTTGAAATAAAAATCAAATCCCAGCATTTTAATGCTATGCCAAAAAACGTGTAGCATTTACACCTGGTCCTAGTTTAGTGCCACGAAATGCTAATATGTGGAATCATCTTTCACCTGGTTAAATCACCGTCCAAAGCCTTCCCATGATTCAAACAAAACCCACACTTGAGACTGCCTGACTTCCTCCCACATTACTCTTCACCTGGCCTACTAGGTCTTAGCACCACCTGTCTTTTGGTTTCTGAAACAAGTTCATTTGCAGCTCAAGTCCTTACACCAGCCTTTCCTTTTGCCTAGAATATTCTTTCCCAACTTTTATGTTCCTTCTTGACTATTCTATTCTGTTCTTTGTTCAAAAAGGCCTTTCCTGACTACCACTCAATGTACAAGATCACCTCTTTTTTGGACAAAGTCTTCACGGAGGACAACAATGAGAACTGGCATCCTGGGAAGACTAAACAAAGATAAAACAAGCTGCCCAGGCCCACCAATTAGCTAGACTAGGCTTTTCCGTGTTAGAAATATATGTGGTGTGTAGGAAAGTCAAGTCTGTGAAGGTAGGTAGAGCCCAAATTGTGAAGGACCAACTTAGGCTTAGTAGGTAGGGAGGAACCACCCACCTAGCTGTGAAAACTGTCCCTGTATGTGATTACTATCCTTCTGAAGGGACACATGACGTTAGTCTCACCTGGGTCGGTGGGTTTGCTCTGCAGACACTGCCAGGTGCTGGTTAACGAGGAGAGCACCGAGCCCTAAATCTGAGACTGTTACAACCTTACCTTAGACCATTCGGTGGTATCCACCCAGTACAGGGCGATTTTTCGGGCGGTCATTAGTTCCTGGACTCTCTTGGGCAGCAACTTCTCCATTGCCTGCTTAGGGGTAGGAGGAGAACGCTGAGTCTGGGCCTCGCACCCACACAAGAACTGCAGCAGCTCCCTCTGCGAATGCGGACAGGGGGCCAGGAGGAAGACCGCGTTCCCGAAGCCTCCGAGCGCGGTCTCGGCCTCCTTGGCCTCGTTCTCCACGTCCAGCAGTCTCCTCCCGCTGCTCCGCAGGATCGGCTTGGTGGGCGACGTGATCTCGGGCCGGTCCCACTGGTAGTCCAGCAGCGTCTCCATCAGGGCGCTGTGGGTGTGAGTGGCCCTGGGCGCCGGGCCAGGCAGGTGAGCGCCGGGGGCGCGCTCTCCGAGCCTGGCCTCCAGCTCGTCCTCAAAGTCCTCCCAGGAGCGGGCCCCCAGTTCGCGGAAGTTAGACACGCGAGAGGGCCGGCTCCGCGCCCCGAGCGAGTCGAAGAACTTGAAGGCCCAGTGGACCCGGGTCAGGCCGAAGCGGCAACTCAAGTAGGTGAGGAGGCGTAGGGCGGCCCGCCGGACCGGGCTGGGGCGAGCGACGCCTCCCCCGGTGTCCAGCAGCTGTGTGTCAACCGGCGCCTCCCCCGGTGTCCAGCAGCAGCATCACTTTGTGACAGCAGGCCATGGCGGACGAGTCGCAGGTCCTTGCTCGGGTACGAGCTGAAGCCGCTCTCCCTAGGCCTTGCTTCAGAGAACCAGCGCCATTCTCTGCTCCCCTTAGCGTCCTGGTCGAAAGCCTCCCGCGCTCTCCAAGAGCTGCTGTTATTGGCAGAGGTGAGTCCCAAAGTCAGTTCCTATTGGCTGCTCGCCTCACGTAAGCTACGTAACCAACTTCTATTTTTGATGCTGACTGGCCGGAGGGTGGTGAAAACGTCAGTTTGATTGGTGGAGGGCGTGGCTGGGGGTGGAGCGCTGTGTTCCGGGAGACTCTTAACGTTCATTGGCCTGAGATTTCGTTTTAAAATTTAAAGAGGTGGAGCCTCGGGGGCGTGTCAAGGAGTTTCCTTTTTGGAGAGGAGCCTGGAGTTGTGCGCCTGTGCGCAGGCGTGAGTGAAGATCCGATTTTCAAAACTTAGTACTGAAAGGGAATTTGGGATGATTTAATTTGAACTGGTCTGAAATCCCTGTAGACCTGTGGATTAGAATCCGATGGCGAAAGCGTTAATATTCTGTAATTTTTTAAAAAAGTATTTATTTTAATTGTTTGTTGTTATTAGCTTATTTTATTTTTAAAATTTGATTAGAGAGAGAGAAAGTGTGAGAGAGAAAGGGAAAGTGAGAAAGCAAGCTGCCAGGTCCGGGACTCGAAGTCTCAATTACTACACCACTGCTGGCCCAAATATTCTGTAAATTTTTAAAAATATATTAAAAAATTAAAGGCAAGTCACACTTGCCTCAGTGACTTCTGAAATTTATCTAGAGAATGCTAGATAAAAGTTAGATACCATAGAGTCTAATTAACTCTAGAAAAGTTTATAACAATTTGAATGGGAATAGTTAAACTATGTATACTCCCCATGGAACTCCATACAGCTTTTCAAAATATTTTTTGTTTTTAGGTCATGTTAGATTTTGAAAACAGACCACAAACAACACATTGGCCTTCTCTTGGAAAAGTATCAATATTATAATTTTTAAAAATTATTTCATTTAACTTTATTTATTTTAATTTGACCACAGAGGGACAGAGAGAGAGAGAGAGAGAGAGAGAGAGGAAGTGAAAAAACAAGCTGCTAGGTCCGGGACTCGAACTGCAGTCAGCCACATGGGAATCCAGTAACCACCACACCACCTGCCAGCCCCTATAATTTTTTTTCTTAAGAGAGATTTTTGCTATAGGGCACGTGCACTCACTGGAGAGACAGAGACAGAAAGCAAGAAATCATCTCCCCAAGAGGGATGGCCACTCTGCAATCCCTTCTCCATCTCTCAGGGTTATCATCAAGCAGGCCCCATGGCCTCATGGTTAACGGGAACCAAATTTCACATGGCCAACCATGGTTTGAATCCCAGCCCCAGCAACTTGATAAAACAGTCCAGGTATACATGCATGAATGCCCAAAGTCCTGGCAGGATGGAGAAGTAGAGAAGGGATTATGGGCATTCCTATATGGGAGGGGGAATGTGCTTGCTTTCTCCCTCTCTGTCTTCCTCTGTCTCTGAGTATCTCTCTGGTGAGCACACTGCTCTCTGCCCACCCCCCCTCTCAAAAAAAAAAATTGGAAAAAGAGAAGAAAAACAACTTACCACATTGGGTTACATACAAACAATCTTTAAGAATTTGCCTCACTTTCTACACTGCAAGTTCTTAGTGGGCAGGAACTGTTTTATTTGTCTTTTTATCTCTAGTGCCTAACAGAGTGGGGACTCAATTTTTTTTTTTTTTTTTAGGTTATTGTCATAGGGCATGTGTGCTTGCTGAAGACAGACAGGAAGAAAAAGCAGGAAATCACTTGCTAGGGGGATGGCCCTGCTGCAATCCCTTCTCCATTCTCTTTTGGGGTTTTGGGCACACATCCTCATGTGATTTCAAGCTGCCGGGTCTGGAACTCAAATCATGGGAGACCACGTGGGAATCCAGCACCTTAACCACCATGCACCTGCTGGCCCCAATACTTATCTTTTAACTCAACTGTAATATATCAAACATTTCTCAAAAAAAAATTGGGAATTTATGTAGACACCGATAAATTACCACTAGAGGGTAGCAGCCACAATCCTTTACACAGGGTTTGACCCCGCCCTGTACGTGGGGCATGCACATACACTTGACATCTTTAACTCCAGAATTAAACCTTTCTCTAGAACTGCTTGTCTTTAGTTTGCATGAGAAAAACAGAGCCTGGTGATTTATGGTAGTTGGGCCTCCCAAGGAAAAAAAGACCTCAGGTGACTGATGAACTGCACCTAGAACTTGGGGGAAAATGCTTTTCCCTCTTCCCAGTAATGGAAAGAGAAACATTTCCAACTTCCAATGGGGCAGTCACAATGTAGATGCTCCTCACAACGATTCTGCAAGGCAAGGCAGGGATTGGTTTCTCTCTTTCTGTCTCTCTCTCTCTCTTTTGCTATGGGACTTGTGAGCTTGTGGAGAGAAGCAGGAAGAGGGAGAATGAAAAATCACATGCCACAAGAGCGATGGCCACACCACAATCCTGTCTCCTCCACCCTCCTCTTGGAATTTGGGCACACATGCACATAAGCTTAGAGTGATTTTTAAGCCACTGGGTCTGGGACTCAGATTTGCAGTTGGCCATGTGGGATCCAACCGCCTTAACTACCATGCCACCTGGGTAGTCTATTTCTCCCTTTTTACAGATGAAAAATCAAGGCTTAGAGGACCCCTCACAGCTAGCAAAAGAGAACACCTGAAAGCCTGACCGAAGACTGATTCTAGTCTCTTTCCACTAGTCCACACTGCGTCCCCCTGGAGATACAAGAGCAGTCTCCCGCTCTGGTGAGGTGGACAGGAGAAAGGACCTACTTGGGCAGTGGAAGGCCCAGTATCATGGCCATAGAGAGCAGACCAGTGGACATAAGCAGAGAAAGCCACACCTCATCCCTCCATGCCCCACCCCAGCCCTGAGCCCTGAGATTGTTCCTATTTATAGGGGTGATAACTGACCCTGCTCTGAAGAGTTGTGATCTGGGGCCTGGGCCAGCTACATAACTTACAGGGCCTAGTGCAAAGTGAAAATGCAGGGCCCCTTGTTGAAAATAAATAAAACTTTCAAGATAGCAACACCAGAACATTAAGTCAAACACAGGACCCTTCTCAGCACACAGGGCTGTGTTGCAAGTCACACGTCTGCAAAACCAGCCCTGACTGGAGCAGTACTGGAAATAATGAAATAACAATAGTTATGTACTCAAGATAGAGTGCCTGCCTACACAGGAGAGAGAGAGGAGCACCCTGGGTGGGCTGGTTATCCCACGATCTCCTTCCTCCAGTCCTCTAGCCTGTAGAATCCAGGCAACTCACACAAACAGGTCTGGTGCTTCTGGCTGACTGGGCCAGGGATTTGAACCATGGTCGCCATGTGGGATCCAGCTTCTCTTGGGCAGCCTATTACTGCTGGGCCATGGAACTGGCCCTAAATGTTTTCTTTCTTTTTTTTTGGGGGGGGGGAGGAGTTTTTGCTATAGGGCACGTGCACTCGCCAGGAAGACAGAGAGAGACAGAGAGACAGAAAGTGAGAAATCACCCGCCCCCCCAGCGGCGCTGGCCACGCCGCAACCCCTTCTCCTCCATTCTCCTCTTGGGATCTTGGGTACGCACACACACGCACCCAGCGTGAGTTTAAACCACCGGGTCCGGGACTTGAACCACAGTCAACTACATATGAGTCCAGCGACATAGCCATTATGCCATCTGCTGGTCCCTGGTCCCAATGTTTTAACCTTTCTGGGGTTACTTTGTCACGTCTCTGGGGTTTTTTTTTTAATTATTTTATTTAACTTTATTTATTTTAATGTGACCAAAGAAGGACAGACTGGGAGAGAGAGGTAAAGTGAGAAAGCAAATTGTCAGGTCTAGGACTCAAACCTCAGTCAGCCATGTGGAAGTCCAGCACCCTTAACCATCACACCACCTGATGGTCCCCACTTCTCTGTGTTTTTATTTCTATGCAGAGGAGGTTGGAGTAGACCAGTAATTCTTAATGTTGGATACTCATTCGAAACACATAGGAACTTAAAAAACAAACAAACAATGCTGGCCTCACTACCAAAGCTTCTAACTGAACTAGACTAGGGGAACCTGGGCAAGTCAGTAAAACCCTCCTCATTCTGACTGGTTTCTGTCTGAGGGTGACAATGATTAAAATGTTCTTCTCTCCCTTTGAGAAAGCAGCTGAGGTGTCCGGATAACTCCAGCTGCAGTTGAGCAGGTGGTCCCCAGGTTTAAGTTTTACTGGCAGCAACACATAGAATGTGTCCTGAGGCAAGGGGGAGTCTGGGCAAGGGGCAGTCTTCTGGGAACATTGCTTCTCCCCGACAGAAGCCGTGTGCCCAGGCATCTTTGCTGCCTTGTTGTCAGTCTTTCAGTGTTATCATGCTCTGTGGGGGAAATCCCCACTTGTGGCAGTATTTCTGGGCATGAAGAGGCAGCTGTACTTTCTCACTCCTGGAGGCTTTCAGATTTCTGAGCCTGAGCCACACCAGTGAAGTTGTTAGAGAAGGGCCAGCAGGTGGTGTGGTGGTTAAAGCAGCTAGATCCCACATGGTCAACTATGTGGTTTGAGAACTGGGCCCAGCAGTGTGAAAATCATGCTGGGTTCATGAATGCCCAAAATCCCTGGAGAAGAAGGGATTGGGGTGTGGCCATCCCTCTGGGGAGTGATTTCTCACTTTCCCCATCTCTCTCTCTCTCTCTCTCCCCCCTCTCTCTCTTTCTCTCCAGTGAGTGCCCAGTAGTAAAAACAAACAAAAGTGGGACCAGCAGATGGCATGATGGTTACATTGCACGGTGGTTTGAGTCCCTAACACATTGGCTTGAACTCACACCAGGCACGTGTGCATGCGTGCCCAAAATCCCGAGAGGAGAATGGAGGAAAGGGGATTGCAGCATGGCCATCCCCCCAGGGGATGATTTCTCGCTTTCTGTCTCTCTGTCTCTCTCTTGTCTCTCTGGTGAGCACACACACCCTATAGCAAAAATCTCCCTAAAAAACAAACGAAAGCTGTTATAGAGAAGAAAACAAAAAGGAAAATGATGTTTATTGAACACTTTCTGAGTACCTGGAATTGCACTTAGGAGCAGTCATATTTAGTTCTCTAAAAACCCCTTCCCCCCATTTTACATCTTAAAAGCCCCTTCCCCCTTCCCATTTTTACATCTTAAGAAGGTTAAGTAAATTGCTGAACATTACACTGATTAAAGTGTCCCTGTAGTTGGAGGTGGAGGGACAGGGCTGATTGAAGTGTCTCTGTAGTTGGGGGTGGAGGGGCAGGACTGTAGTTCAGAGACTTCCTGGAGGGCGGGTGAGGTCCAGAAGTGGGAGGCCAGGGACCATATTCTCATCCTCAGTCCCTACTTGCCTCCCACCTAAGCAGAACTCTGTGGGCCAAACCAGGCCTCAGGGTCACTGTCATTCCAGGGCTTTGTGTGACTAGCGCTCCGTTTTCTGGCCA